TTCCGCGTGAAGTATGCTTGTAATCCTTCTTATATAAAGTTAACTGGATACAGATAATAATTATTATTATTTTTCTCGCTTATTAGTAACCTCCTAATCAGGTAGTAATTTGTATTGAGACACCTCTACCAGCTTGCGGAGTGGATACAGAAACTAGGTGTGAATCTCAACACGTTGAACTGTCCTGCATGGCATTTAACATTAATTGATCAGGTGATCATCGACCTGAGATAGAGTAGTAATCATTTCGTAAAAATCAACAAATCTATTTATAATTTATCTTTTATATTTTATTGAATTTTAATAACTGCGGTAGTTAGAAATTAATTCTAAACAGATATATAAAGGATCACTATCCGACCAAGTGTGCAGCATTCTCATTCTCATCTCGAGAATGAAATCCCCTAATGACTTGAAATAATCAATAAACCATCTCTAATTCTTATCCTCAATTAAACACTACTTCCGACTACCCTAACATTTCCATTACCCTGACGTCCGCATAACATGATCGACATTGCATGTTATCCCTGAATTCGACGACGATCAACCCCGATATATTAATATGGATTTAATGCATAACCTCGTTAGACGTTTGTCTTAAAACTTGGTTAACTTATTGCAAGCGATTCATAATCGAAACCGATCTAAGTTCGAACGAAAGGATAATAAATGCAATTTTGCCCTAAAAAGCCTCCTGAAGCGTTTATCTGAAGAAGGAGCTTTAACGATATAAAACGTAGCGATATGGAATCTGGTTTACTATAAGACTTCCGCTACGATAATAAAGCTTTTAGTGTACGCTAAAAGCTTACAACGAACGTTGTAATTGGTACACATTCGTTAAGAAAGATTATGTTTAAGAATTAAATAAAAGCGTTCGTATTGAATACGTTCGCTAAAAATAAGAGTTAAGTAATTAGGTTGTGTTAATATTACTATTTGTTTCAATACAAGGAACGAGTCTATCCGTCGTAACGTAGTGGCTTCACTATGTGTCCCTTTCGTAGCGAACACTTAGTAATTTTCTTAACCAACTGAGGAAAGGCCATTCCGATGTTGTTATGCGAATAAAGACTTTAAATGTCTATAGTATTTGAACGAACTGTTCAGTTCGATGTAATGATATAATCTTTCATGTTTGGGATTTACTGTTACTAGTCATATATTCATAAACGACAATATTCGCTAAAACCATCGAAGAAGTAATTTCATTGCCATATACGATATCATCGTTATATCAGTTGAGTATGGATAACATCCTACCTAGGGGATGAATAACTCATTTGAATAACGGGAATATTCTATTGAATATTCGACTCGTTGAATTCGTTCGCAAGAATAGTGCTCATAATTGGTTTGCTGTCCAATTCACTGAGCCGGAATTTAACTCCGACGATGATTAGTAATATCAATTACTAATGGATTCGTTGTTTAGCCTATGATACGTATTCGTCAATGATTTACTTAGCTTGGATTAATGCTATTAATATTAATGCTCGACGTCTATCGAAGAGTATTATACATTGTTGAACTGTGCGAGACAGAGTTATGCTTCTCCCTCTCATGGAAGATCGGGAAATATTCGTCTAGACATGTGATTATGTTGTAGACTGCAATACAGACAGCTATTGTGGCGTAGTTTATGACGTAGGCACACAGGGAAGCCCATCACTGAAATGATTGCTGAGATAGAACCCTCAGGATTGACTCAATTGCGTTCACATTGCGACAGTCAATGTATCTTGGATATCAGTGAACCAGAAGATTGTCGAGATTCAATTCAGTGCATCAGCTGTGGGCAACTACAAGGAGAGAGAGATTGTCAACAGCAGCAAATACACCACCTCCTCCTGAAATAGAAAGACCTGAATGGGAACTTAATATTAATTCCAACACTAAAATACTGGGATTTCAGCAACTGTGCTGAAATGCTTCTGTGGGACCATCTGACAACATTGTAATTGAAGCCTGGGAGAATTCTCCAAAGATTTTATTTTTGCCTCAGCGTAATTCAAATTCTTATCCACCTGATAATCTGTTTATTTGTTGAATTAGCAAATTCATCAATTCTCCCCATCAACACATGGACAAGCACAAAATGATAATGCCACCTTGCCAAAACTGCAGTTGATGGTTGATTGTTCCCATTATAATTATACCAAATGTGTCCAATGACTAAATATAAAGGATGATCAGTATGGCTTCCATGAAGTGACAGAGGATTATTATCTGAAAAAGAGCTGAAAGAGTTTGCTGAAGTTATGGATATTTCTAGTGTCCACCCAATTATCATGGACCACTCTGGATTCATTTTCTGGATTGTAGATGGTCAAGGATGTATTAGTATGTTTTTATGGAGTGAAATGGAAGAATGCCTGCAATTTATGGGAAATAACATAGTGGAAGGTTTCAAGAAATACTTTGAAGGTCCGGAAAACATGCCTGTCTGGGAGGATGGGGCTTGGGTGCCGAAAAAAGAACTCATTTATCTTGGAAAGAAAAGGTACAGGCAAGGGGTCCAATAGTAATACCAGGAACTTTTACAAGATGGGGCACATTAAAGAAGCAGAAGAAGCAGAAACACAAGCACAAGCAGAAATAGAGTTTAATATTTAAATAGTTATTTTAATCTGCATTTGATTGCTACTGTACTGATGAACAACCTTATAAAAATATATTAATATTAAATAACTGACCAAAAGGAAAAAATATAAAATGATCTTTGATTTGACATCTCCCAAATAACCACCAAATCAAAGTTATGTTTCCTTAATTTGATAATCAATATAGCGATTGATACTACCTGATTAGGAGGTTACTAATAAGAGAGAAAAATACTAATTATCTGTATCCAGTTAACTTTATATTATATATGAGAAGGATTACAAGCATACTTCACGCGGGC